AAACAATTCAGGGACAACTGGAAATCCACAGGCAAAAGAATGTGGTAGCATCACTTCCTCACATCATACACAAAAAATTAACCCAAAGTGGGTCATAGAGCCTAAGTGTAAGTTAAAACTGTAAAACTCTTGGGATATATTAGAGGAGCAAATCTTCATAATCTTGAGTTAGGCAAAGCCTTCTGACGACACAAAAGCACGACTGACAGAAAGAAAAAAATTAATCAGACTTTGTCAAAATGAAAAACTTGTACCACGAAGGATACTATCAAAAACTGAAAAGGACACCCAGGGGATGGGGAAAAAAACCCAGTTTTTGCCAAACATATATCGGATAAGGGATTGCATCCAGAATATATAAAAAATTCTCACAACCTAATAATAAAAGGCAAAAATCCAGTCTAGAAAGGGGGCAAAGGATTTGAACAAACGCTTACTCATGAGGATAGGTAAGTGGGCAATGGGAGCACGAAAAGCTTCCCAACATTATTCATCATTAGAGAAGGCAAATCAAAACCACAACGAGGTCTCATGTGTGCTAGGATGGCTATAATGAAAAAAAGACATGATCACAGTGTTGGTGAGGGTGTGGAGAAACCCTCACACGCTGCTGGTGGGAAAGCCAACTTGGAAAACGGTCTGGTAGTTCCTCAAAAGTTTAATGTAAGGTTACCATATGGCCCTGCAATTCTACTCCAGGTAAGGTCCACAATAACTCGTACATGAATGTTCAGAGCACCCATATTCGTACTATCCCAAAAGCGAGAAAAAACAAATGTCCATCAACTAAATGGATAAAATGTAGCCACTCCATACAATGGAGTATTATCTGGAAATAAAAAGAATGAAGAACTGCTTCATGCTAGAATGCTGAAAACACTTTGTTGAGTGAAAGAAGCCAGCCGCAAAAGACAACATATTGCTATTCCATTTTAATGAATTATCTGGAATAGGCAAATTGGCTGAGACAGAATGTAATTCAGCGGTTGCCTGAGGCAGGGTGAGGGCAGGAAATGGGGACTGACCGCTGGTGCACTTGTGAATATGGAGTTCTTTTGGGGTTATAAAAATGTCCTCAAATGGATTGGGGTGATGGTTGCACAACTGTGACTAAAGCCATTGAATTGTACACTTTAAGTGGATAGACTGTATGGTATATAAATTAAATCTTGATAAAGCTATTATTCTAAAAGTAAATATGTTTGATATATTCAAAATCTAATCTCCCTGCTTCCTTCCTCTCCCTCCTTTCCTCCCATCATTCCTTCCTTCCTTCCTTCCTTCCTTCCTTCCTTCCGTCCATCACCAAATTCATACACCTGAGATGGAATATGTTTAATCCATGGAATGAAGTATAATTATATTTTCAATTGGGTGATAAGAAATGATAGAAAACCAAAAATGAAACATTCTTGTAATTTGTGGAACTACAAAGAATATCTGAGGTGTAAGCAAGTCTCTTTAATGAGATTTATTCTTTTTTTCATTCAAAACATATTTATGGAACATTCATTACACATTTGAGAACTGTACTAGGTGCTATTTTATGATTTCAAAGCAACACGCACATGAGTGTATTTTTCATAGCATGCACCTGAGACCAAGTTTCCCATGTTTTATAATAACCAGTCTGCCAAGGCTACAACTCCCTCCTTTCTAGCAAGTAGTTTACAAGAGCTGACTTTGGTCTATCACAAATTGCTTAAAAAGATTAAACACACAGTCACATTTGGACATCTCTTGACATTTACAGAAATGCAAAAACTTTCTTAGAAAATTCATGAAATTGCCACATGTCTTGAACAGTGAGTTTGTTTGACAGCAGTCTTGGGAATCTTAGAGTCACCGGAATGGGGTGTGGAGAAGCCAAGTTTGCCCCCAGGGGTGCCATTCTCCCCAGGGACTTGCAGAATTGCTGTGGTTTAGAGACAGCTGGAAGCTTGACCCAGCTGGGACCGGTAGCTGATGCCAGTCCGATGGCCTCTGGAGAAACTGGCGGATTCTGAAATTGCTGTCAGGAGTCTCAGGTCTACTGAGGTCAAAACAGAACCCAGCTCTCCGTAAGTCGATCCAGACCTTAGGTCAGTGTGACCTCTAAGTGCTGAGTCCCCACCCAGATCCCCTGAACCTGCATCTCTGGAAGTAGGCCAGATGATGCTTACAACCCCGGGAAGTTTGCAAATGGCCATGATGCCATGTGGATTACCAAATTCTCTTTAAAAGTAAAAAGAGTTGGGGCTCTATGATCAGGACTCTTCGCGGCTAGAAAGAATTCCCTGAGCCTGTTCTAATTTATGCTTAGTTCTTCAGAACTTAATTGAATTGGGTTCTGGAGATTAGAAATTGGGCGGGGAAAAGTAGCCATTCATCTCCTCTTTAATGTAAGGACCCTTCCTTTCATTTACCTTCGGTATTTTCACGTCCATCCACTTATCTTCCCCCTAGAATGAGCACTGAAGTAGCAACATAATCCAGGAGAAAAGTGTCTATATGTACTCAGATTTTACTCCGATGGAACAAAACACATTTCGAGAAAGAATTTTCCTGGGGAAAATAATCTAACTTTAAAAGAAAAATCAAAGGGAAAAAATTGTAGCCAAATAAGCCACTAAAACGTATGCATTATCTTGGGGAAAAGTTTTTTTCTCCATTTAGTGAAATTTCTTTATTATTCACCAACACTCACGACTCCAAAAGTATCTTACTCTCATTCATCTATTCAAGATTATTTATTAACTGCACTTTGTCAGGCAAATAACTGAAGTTTTATTCTGCAGCTTGAAGAATTTAAGGATAAGTGAGGGGAATAATGGTAGAGCAGGAAAGACAAGTGTTAAGACCGTGTACATGTTTTCACTCTCTTGATTTTGATGACCCACTTTTAATCTTCTAGGGATATCTATCTTCTAGGGATCCCTCCTTCAGGAAGGTGGGCGTCACTCAGTTCATTAGATCGCCATCCTTTCAGGAGAAAGGAAACTTTTGAACAACGGATGCCTGTTTCACCAGCCACTGCCAATGTTCTGAAAGCACCAATTTACTTTCAGCCATATAACAAAGGCCGATTTGCCTTCTTTCTAATTGATTCGATGGCTTGCTGGCACTTTTAAAACACATTACGTCAATCCTCAGACATCTTTTGTGATGGTAAGTAGTGATCTTTTGCTCTGGTGATTCCAGGCACAGAGATGCTGCCAGCCTTCTCGAATCCCAGTGTTGACACTCACTTCTCAAGGCAAACACTATATATATATAAGGGCTTCATCATCCTGAGACTCCATGTGCTGTCTCTCCCGGACAGAAGTCTCTTTTGTAAATGTGCCCCAACTCACTGTTAATGCAATCATATGTGCATGTGACTCCAGTCATTTGAAAGCGCATTGATCCTTTGTCTCACAAGATTTCCTACAGCAAATCTAGAAGACTAAGAACATTTCAACTCAGGCCCAGTGGCTCTTAGGAGTTTCCGAGGAACGTAGGTCCCTGAGGTGGCACTTTGACCAAACTGTTTCCTAATTAAATGGCTAATTGGTTAGTGACTGGGATTTGGTCCCAGCTTGGGTCCCTACCCCATCTTGGGATTTTCCTCAGGATTCTGGGTCACTCGGGGTCCACTTTGCTGGTGCTCAACCAGACTTGCTCCAGAACTACTGGTGCATAGAACTTACGCTTAATGTGCTACCATTCCAAGCAGTGAACTGAGATTTCTGCAAACATGTCCACATGTCCTCGGCAAGATGCGTAATGACTGTATCAGACTGTGATGATAGGTCAGGTACTGCTACAGCCAACAGTCTGGGGATCCAGAGCATGGCAGGTGATCCATCAGGCCACCCACACATGCAGGGCCTGCCATGTGCAAGGCTCCATGTTGTGACAGACTGGGAGAAATGTCACAGAAGCCCAGGGCTACAGCCGGCTTTCCTCCTCAAGGCGAGGGAGATGTTTTTGTGCACTCAAGACCTTGGGAGGGCACCCACATCTTCCACCTTGTTCTATGAGTTCTTCAATCCTTAGTAATTTTGATTGGCGATCCAAGCTAAGATATGCCCTCCCCGGGACTTGGCATAGAATGAAAAAGAGTCACAAACAGAAGACAGCTATTGATTTTATGGGGATTTCCTTTTCCTGGGATGGAAGAAGCAGTACAGGGTTGTGGCCATAGACCCCAAGGATGGCTCCTGGGTGTGGACACGACACAGACAAGGCCCTGCTTTGTGCAAGGCAGGACACAGGAAGGTCCAAGACTCCATGCAATATCCACTGTCTGCCGCGGGGGCAGGCTCCTGCTCACTTCATCCGAGTAGCTGCATGAGAACAATGCAGAAAGGGACAGACCGTTGAGCCAGTGAAAAGCTGGGGTTTTCCTATCTCCAGAAGAAATAAAGTTTGGGGTTTTTGGTGGTTTTTTTTTAAGGAAGTAGGGACTTTTGGGGCACCTAGGTGGCTCAGTTAAGCGTCCAATTCTTGGTTTCGGCTCAGGTCGTATCCCGAGGTTCGTGGGTTCCAGCCCCGTGTTGGGCTCTGTGCTGACAGCCAAAACCTGCTTCGGATTCTGTGTCTCCCTCTCTCTGCCCCTCCCCTGGTCACACTCTCTCTCTCAAAAATTAACATTAAAGAAAAAAAAAAATTTTTAAAGAAGTAGGGACTTTATGGAATCATCCAAGAGCAGTATATTTACAATTTTTGTGGCCTCGATTGTGTTAATGAAGCTGTTATTCAAATAGAAAATGAAAACCATTGCACCGTGGAGCACACTTGGCTGAGTGGGGACAACGATAGCAGCGTCTATGCAAACAGTCGGAGTAGAATCAAGACCAGAACACAGCTGCTCGGCCAGACAGACGGAGCTGAGTCAGCCTCTCCCTTCAGCATGCACATCACCCTGGACCAGGACCCATTGTTGGGCAGGGGAGCAATGCCTGCCACGTTGCACATGATGTTGTAGACATCCACGGACCTGATTGGAGCGGCTCTGAAGTTGGATTTGAAATCTGAAAGGGAAAAGCAAGCAAACAAGTTGTCACAGCCACTCCCTGGGCAGAAAGGGGCTGAGTCACAATACGGAGGAATGACACTCAGGCTCCAGGCAGCTTTGGGACCAGAAATCAGCTCTGCCAATGGGGCGTGGCCAAGTCACTGTGACCTTGGAAGGAGATGTGGAAGGGGTAGAGCTTACAAGAGGATGTCGCTTCCTATGGCTCATGGAGATGAGTTTCTTTAAAAGACAAGTCAGCAGACTGTCCTTGTGCATAACTGTGGTGCCTTTCTGACAAGAGCCATCCTGGGGGGGGGGGGGCAGCGGGGCATCTCCATTTTTGCTGCTCATTTCTGCAGAGCACTGGAGAGCAGGTGTGGTCGCAGAAGGTTGACCGTCTTGCTGAGCTCCCCAAACCCAATTACACGGTATGCTTATCTTCCAGAACATCTATCTAGCAGGGACTGGTTGGACAGGGGGCCCCATAGCCAGTCAAGAATTTTTGTTTCTCATTTTCCTGCCCCACTGAGGTCCCAGGGCTTAATGGAATGTGAAACTGTACGGTTTCCTCTGTGCTAGCTAACTCAGAAGCAACAGTTTCTTAAGCAACGGTTTCTTAAAAAGCTCGGAAGATCAATTCAACATTCCGTGGGAGCCTTTCCCCGGCAGATAAAATACCCTAGCTGAGTGGAAAGCAAGCAAACTGGTATTGGGGTTCAGGACCCACGCGAAGCCTCCGAGAGCACTAATGGAGAAGAGTATTGTGCTTCCACCCAGAGGCGGCACCAAACTCCAGCAGGGACACGGGAATGTGAAGGGTAGGGCTGGCCCTTCGCAGCATGGTAAGTACAGAGGGATTTCAGTGGAGAGTGCACCTTCTCCTCCACAGGAGGCAAACAGGATGCTGAATGTTCAAAGAGTGAGCATATGAGTTCAGTAATGTACAGAGCAGTTTCCCTTTCGGGCCCCAAACCAGAGCTACACTGAGGTTGAATTCAAGAAGGAGATTTCATCCATCAGTAAAGGCCTCTCTGCATGAGCTTTTAAACCACGCAAGACTTGGAAAAGAAATGGGTCGTATGGGGGCTGTGAAGCCAAGTTTCCTACCTTAGAAAATAGTCCTTTATAACTGCTGTGCTAAAATGATCCCACATACTGTATTCAAAAAGCGAACAAACACCAATGGCAACATAGTCCAGAAGTGCCAACAGCAAATCCTGCTCTTATGTTAACCCTGAAATTACAGATACAGAAAGAAGTTCTATTCAGAAAACTCTGCCACAGAGTATGCTAGAGCCAGGGCAACTTCCCCGGTGATGGCTTTTGCTCGCTTGGGAGAATTAATGTTGACTTCGGTATATAAGGTTAATAGGCTCTACAGTCAGCCCACAGCCACTTACTAGCTGGAGAAGCTCTGGAAATGGGTGTGGAAATGGTATGTAAACCATTGTTCCAGGAACGTTGTGTATGCTCAATAAATGGTAGTCGTTACTATTGGTAAACATGTAAACACCCGGCAAGGGCAAGCTATGGATTGAAAATATGCACCCAGTACATTACTTGGAGAGTTCACTTTACTTTTGGGGCAGAAAGGATAAGGGATAAGGTAGCATCACCTCATGGTAAAAACTAGTTAAAATCCAGAGCCTCCCTGGAGGGCAGGATCAGGACTGCCCCAGAATCCCAGCCCTTCTTAGTATCAAGGCAATTACAGGTAGGTGTCTGGTCAGACATCCCCAGAGAAGAATCAGCTAAAGTATGAGAAATCAATGGAAAGGTTGTCCCAGTGATGTGGAAACAACTCCCCTCCCTCCTTCCAGCTTGCCAGGGGCCTGGATGTGATGGCCACACTGCCCCACCGCACGGTACCCGTATCCTTTCCACGTGTGTGGGTGGCAGACATCAGTAGACCCAACTTCTCTTTCCCTAGCCTTCCCTTTCCAAGCATCCGCATCTTTAACACGTGGCAGAAAAACTGAGCTCAAGCTCTACTGACAAAGAAATATTAGAAAAGATTACATTTTTACATCAAAAGTACAAAATTAAATCCTATGCACATAAGCAGGAAGGAGTATTGGGTTTTCTTTTCCCAAGGTTCATGGCTTCCTATTCGGCAGTGCTGGGACTTTGGACCCGATGAAGAGATGATCTAGGCTAGCATGAGAGCTTCTAGAAAATTCCGAAATAGCAAAACCAGATCCAGCTGGGGAGGACGTGGGGGCCAAGCTCCACTAACTCAAGGTGGCACTTTGAACCTGGATTGGGAATCCAAGGCAGTCCCAAGAATTTAAATTTTGTTGATACTAAAACTGTTTCTCCTGAAGACAGAAGGTTCTGCAGGCCCACGCCACGCCTGGCCACCTTGGGGCTGCTTTCCGGGTGAGGCTTGCTAGCTCACGGGCAGCTCACTGAATCACACTCCTGCTGTCTTATCTTGAAACGTGGAGCTCTCCGGGGCAAGATTAGGTTGTTCAAATTAGAAAACTGGGATTAACCAGAGAGAGGCTATCTTCCAGAATTATTTCCTTTTCTTTTTGCTGGACCAGACTTACTGACTTCTAAAGCTGAATCTGGGCAGCCGCAATGATGCCCAGCTTCCTCCCTAAGCGAGAAGCGCATACAATTAATCAGGAGGGATGTACCTCTATCTCAATGTGCAGCTAGATAGCCATTAAAGGCCTCACTCTTAAATTTTCTTCTGAGTAAACAGTGTGTAAAGCTGTTCAATCTTTCATGAGAATTGGAGCCAGAAACGTGATGGTTTGCGGGCGGCTCTCAAGGCTGCATCTGCCTGGAAACATTTTTGCAATTGGCCCAGTCCATTTTCATCAGGGTCATCTATCTGTCTATAAAAGACTTAGGCTTTTAGTTTTAAAGGAGCATATGATGGAGGCCTTTGTTGATGGACAAACTCTCCCCACTGAATTTAACTTTAAGCTAATGCAGCTTTGAGTACTTTGTTTTAAAATTTTGGTTTGAGGCTAGATTTGCTTCTGCTTTAAAATATGCCTGAGACCCTTGCTCATAAACACTCCTTCAACTGACAACTGCTTTTGCATTCCCGATCTTATTTCTGTCTTCTAGGGAAGAAGGAGGAGATGCTTTTGAATGAAAGCCCTGATGTTTAATGTTCTCCCGTATAAAGGCCATGACCCTGGAATGTCTCCAACCTAATCTAACAGTTGACCTCAACCAAGTCCTTAAGGCTCCATCCCTCATTTGCTATGTTTTCAAGCTTTTTAGAGAATTAATGTTGAATTTAGTATAAGAGGTTACATCTGACGTGAGGCTTGGCCGACCAGAACGCCCACCAGCTACCACTGGTTGATGGCAACCTGCGTGGGCATGTTCTGAACTCTTTTAGGCCAATGTCCTGAGCCTGGTTGGCCCTCTATGAATGTTTGCTGCTCCTGGTTCTGATGCTTCAGGATGTGGGAACTTGGGTCACATGTGGGAAAGGCTCTGGACTGATGTGTTCCCTAAGCTCAGGAGGCCAGGGGCTCCTGTGGCGGATGCAGAAACTGATGTCTCATCGTTCTCTTTTGTGGTAAGTAGAGTGGCCCAAGGCAGATGAAATGAGTTGGGTTGACATCTTCGTCTTGCTACAAGAAGAAGAGCAGCCCTTCTAGGCAACACCTCTAACCTATAATTTGAAAGGGAAGTGTGGACTTTCATGGGCTGAAACATTCTGATCTAGATCTAGAAAACAGCATTTGGAATACGATACCAGGGTAGGCTTATTATATTTAATAAGGAAAGTGGACAGTAGTAAGAAAGACTAGCTTATAAGCCAGTCAACTGATGGCTGATGGCTGTAGAATGCTTCTCTCCCTCCGCTTTTTGTTTTGTTTTTAAGAAAGAAGGGGATGTTTGGGTCACAGTATGATCTCCAGAGTGTGTGATAAACTTTCCCCAAATGTGAATTTACAGTCCTCTGTCAGTTAAAGCAAATGACCAAATAGACCCTCTCCATCTCCCCTCTCTTCCATCCCTAGGAATTTATCTGGTCAAGGAAGAGACATCAAGGAAGAGAAAGTCATTCTGGCTCATTCTCAAAGTCAGTCTCAAGGTCATTTCCTAGCCTGGCCTTGAGCACATCCTAGCTTCTGGTTGGGCCCTAAACCGAATGACCCCCACAGGGGTGGGTGCTCTAGACAGGGAGGAACCCTGGAAGGCTCAGACCCTGTGAAGTGGTCACATCAACTCTGAGACTCACAGCTGTCAGCAACCTGGTGTCTGATAAGCTTTCCTGGACATCAGATAACTGTGAAATAACGTTTTGATGAATTAAGTAAAAAACGAATCACAAACATGTGGAATACATTTTCTTCACTGCACTCAAGATTTAAAATTTACAAGGAAAAGTATTTGGCCACATTTGCCAAACCTAAGAAGCATTTGAAAGCAAGCCAGCAAAAGATGTTTCATGGAGACCAGCTGGGTTTGCTCAGCTTTGCTCATAAAGAGGGTCCATAAAGAAATCGCTTCAGCCTTTACTGTTCTATCAGCCCCTACTGGAGACACTTCCTTGGGAACGGAGGACTAAAAGAATTTGGTCAGCTCTTGCCTACCGGGTCCAAAGGCCAGGAAGATGCCCCTCATGTCCATGAGTTCATTGTCATAGCCATGCCACCCACGCTGCCAGCCTTCTCTCCTGCCAGTGCTGTTCATCCAAAATGGAAGTGACTCTCGATTCTGAAACCAAGCAAAGCAGTTACATTACCCTTTGTCCCAACCATCATGATGAGTGAGCATCTGGCCCAGACTACCACCCAGTGTGGGGATTTCCTTCTCAACATTCTCCACTGGGGTCATCCAGCCTCAGCTGGATCACTTCCTTCTTCAGGTAGCTCAGACCATTGGAGGCACGCCGGTAAATTGCCAGAGAACTCTAGTTATAAAAGTATTTCCTTACACGGAGCTGAACTGTACCTTGTGATCAGTTTTAGAGCCACTAAATATATCATGTTAGAGACGGAAGGGATGTTAAAGTGTATCTGTGGCATAGTAAAAGGTATATTTGGCTTTGGTCCCATGTTCCTGACCCAGAGCTCCCAAAACCCTGGGCGTGTCCCGAGTGACAGGAATTCATAATGAGCCCCTTTCTCCCATAGCCGAGTCCATGGTAATGGGATGGCTCACTGCGGTGGGGGGCTGGGCAGCTTCAGGAGGTCACTGCAGGAACCAACCACGTGATGGGGGGGTTAAAAATTTCAGCCCGTCCCCTGTGCGCTAAGGCTGCATTCAGGCTTGTGGCCAACGATGGTCACGCGTGCCTGTGCCGAGAAACCTGTGTAAAAACCCCGGAGGGCTGTGGCCTAGGGGGCTTCTGGGTAATTGAACAAATTGATGTGCTGGGAGGGCAGTGACCCCAAAGAGAGCATGGAGGCCTTATGCCTCACCCCCCCAAACTCGGCCCCATGCCTCTCTTCCGATTGGCTGTTCCTGAGTTGTATCCTCTGTACTGAAACTAATCATAAACAGAGCACATTTCTGAGCTCTGTGATTCATTCCACTCAATTATCAAACCTGAAAAGGGCTGTGAGAACGTGCCAATCGCACATAAGTATGGGTGGCCCGGGGACCCAGGACCCCGGGGCGCGTGTGGGGTGCGAAGAGGGGGCGGCCCGGTGGGACTGAGCCCCCTGGTGCAGGGGGCCGCTCCAACTCCAGAAGGTCAGTGTCAGGACTGGGCTGAATTGCAGGACACCCGACTGCTGTCAGAAAATTGCTGGAAAATACAGAGTCTAATCTAATCACCTCATTTCTCTAGCAAACCTGACAAAACCCAGAGGCCTTTCCACCCCACACACCACCCCATCTTTCTGTTTTTCTAGCTCCACCCTTGGGAGCAACTTGGGATAAATTCATCCCCTCCCCTCAAACACTTGATGATGACACTTCTGTTCCTCTTAGCCAGGGCTCTTACGTTTCCTCCAACAGTCTTCATCTGGGATGGGCTCCAGAGCCGTCACTTCTCTGTCACCCTTCTTCCCTTCAGAACTCAAGTTTTCTTGGACCACAGACGCTTACTTCTGAGACAACGGCTTAAAGAAGGTTCCGTGGGGCCTGAGGAGGCTGCGGCCAGCGGGACAGAACCCTAGCCCTCCACTGCAGACTAAACATTCTTTCCTGATATTCCAGTCACCTTCCGTGGAACAGGGTTCGATACCACAGACATTGCAAATGCAGTAAGTAGACCGACTGGTCATGAAGGACGCTTGGACCTTTTGCAGTACCAGCAATTTATAGGTTGGTGCGTCAGACTTGTGATAGTACCATCTTGGGGGCGCCTGTGTGGCTCAGTTGGTTGAGCATCTGACTTCAGTTCAGGTCGTGATCTTGAGGTTTGTGGGCTTGAGCCCCGCATCGGGCTCTGTGCTGACAGCTCGGAGCCTGGAGCCTGCTCCGGATTCTGTGTCTCCCTCTCTCTCTGCCCCTCCCCTGCTCCGCACTCTCTCCCAGAAATAAACATTAAAAAAAAAATTAAAGACCTGTAACAGTACCATCTATTTACTTAATCAGGAGGTTACACTGACATTCACTTTGTCGTCGCCACATCCCGGTGTTGGATGATGTCATTTTCCCCACCGTAGAGTTGAAGGAACTAAGGCACAGAGAGGGTAAGGGTCACTCTTAAAGTCACACAGCTGTTGAGAGGCAGGGCTGGGATCAAACCCAGGTCATCTGTCTCCTGGTCCTTGTGCCTCTCCCACCACCCCACAGCCAGAGACCGCGGCGGTGCTCCTGCCGGCACTGACAAGGAGGTGGCCCCTGTCCCTTGCCTCTTCACCGAGTAGTGGCCAAAGTATAGAAAAGAGGTTTTAAAAGGGGATTCCAGTTTGCCAACATTCTGCCTCCATGACCCTGGGCGAGCTACTTTTCTCAGCTTCAGGCTCCCTACTGGATGTGATAATACCTGCCTCACAGAGTTCTGGGAGGAGGTCATGACTGTGCTACATGCCTGACACATAATAGATGCTCAGTAAGTAGCCGCAAGATGGTCGCCAGATGTCGCTGGCTGCGGGGCGAGGCGCTCTGGTCCTGTGCGGCCGGACAGTGATGGCTGCGAGCCCCGAAGTCCCCTCTGCCTATTTAGCTGTCACATCGCCCTGCGCACACATCCAGTCTCACCCCATAAATCGCTCCCTGGCATGACCGCTTTCCAAATCACACTAGATCACTGACTCTCCGTTTCCTGAATTTCCATCATCCCTCCGCCTCCTTCTCCAGCTGTAGCTTGTATCTTTCCATGGGAATGTTTTTATTAACTTACTGCACTTGTAACCTGTTGTGCTGTGTTTGCTCTTGGGTCTGCAGCGATGACCGTAGTACATCCAGCGTAGCTCCGTCAGCTGATGTGAGGCGTCGCTTCCCCGTCAGGCTACCAGGCAGTGATTCCTGCTGCCCCAGGTAGCACATTTGGTTACTAAGGACGTCACAGTTGATGACCCCCACAGGACATGTGTGCCCCATGACCAAGGGACCGATGAAAGGGAGATGCAGACCCATTACCCGATTTCAGAATATTCCAGTCCAAATTGCACAAGTACAAACATACAGCCGCGAAAGCCTTGGCCCGAAGGTCACCGGGGCTCTGTCTGATCACAGGTTGAGTGCGTTCTTTTTTATTAAAGTGACAAAGTTGTCCAGTGAAACACCTCTTCTTACTGATTTGAAAAAGTAAGAACAAACTGGCAGCTTATGAGAGAAGCTGACCATGTCCCCCAAGTGACGGGACGGATTACGTTACGTACGTGGCCTTGACTTCAAAATGGCATGTGGATGATCTTCTCCCTTCCCTTCCCTGGTGGCTTTCCCTGTCTCTGTTCCCTGTCTCTGTTCCACTTCCTCATCCCAGAGGCATACATATGAGGTCACGCTGACAAATGCGTGTCACGGGCCTCTGCGCCTCCAGAGCAGAAACCCCCAGGCAGCACGTCCTCAAGGTCCTGCTTGAGGAGAGCTGACCTCATCCTGACTCTACCAGGCCCAGGGACTGCCACAAAGTACCACCTAGTGACGTCCTGGGGAGGTGCCCAGGCCCTCCAGACCTGGCCAAAGCTGAGACGGGGGTAAAGGAGTGGTGTGTGTGTGTGTGCGTGTTCGTGTGGAAGGAGGAGGGGAGCACTGCTAAGTTTGGGTCACTAAGGGCGCTGGGCCCAGGGCAAGGTGGGCAGCCGATTCCCAGGGCCGCGG